TGTGGCATGTTTCTAATTAATTCTTTGGGCATATTATATTCTGCAGAACCTTCCACCACTTTCACAATTACAGTCACGTGGAAAAGGGCTAATTAGACAAGCTGTGTTCAATGACTACTTTTGGCAGGTTTCCATCAAGCTAAATATAATGTGAAATTTTTAATGCTATCCACCATTAGAGCATGGAGGAAAATTAAATCAAGATGTGCTTAGGAAATTAGTTTGAGTTTGTGGAGCTCAAATTCTTAAAACTTTAAAGTTTTAAAAATTTTTAATGCTATCCACCATTAGAGCATGGAGGAAAATAAGTACTAATAACCATAGCACACACTATTCATCCCTAATAGGCAAATGACTAACTATATTAACATATATACTTGGCCACAACTTCAGATCAAGATGTTGAAAATTCATGCTTGAGCCCTCGCTCTCCACCCCAAATAAGCAATGAAATATTAAAATGTAAAAAGCAGAAATCTTAAAAAATGTAGTCAGACTTAAAAAGAGACAAACATCTCTGTGGTTCAGTAACCAAGCATTCGTTTGTTCATTCATTCATTCATTCATTCATTCATTCATTCAACAAGCTTTAATTCAGCACCTACTATGTAATAGACATCCAATTTAAGTCACAGCACCCTGTACTGAACAAAACAAAGTCCCTGCTCTTATGGAACTTACATTCCAAAAGAAGAAACTCCTAACAGAAAGCAATAAACCAGGTGGATGCAACAGGGAAAGGCAGCCAGGAGCTTATATTTTTAATGATGATAGAGACTAAAAGTGCCCTCTCTGAAGCAGAAGACCAGAGCCAGTCCCACTGCTTGAAATAACAGACTGGAATGGAAAGGAAGCTGGAAAGAGCTGTACCTGAGAGCTTCCTGGGGCTACAGCTTATATAAAGCTCTGTGCCCATGTTCTTGAGAAAAGCCAGATAGCCTCACAGTCAGGATATGGGCTGAGCTGCCACTGGCTAAGCAAGTGGATCTGTGTTATCCCTGAATCACCAGTGTGTTGTCCCTGCCACCTGATTCTGAACAGGGGACAACAGAGGCTATGTACGGACAACTGTGACAAAATAGAGGAGTGAGCAAAGAAAGACAAAGGGAAAAAATATTTGCCCTCAAATGAATCTACAAATCAAAAGTTTATAACACATGAGGAAAACTAAGAAGCAACAAAATGAAAATTACAAAGGAATTTTAACATGACTTTAGGATACTCAAAGAGATAAAGTAATAACACTTTCATGGAAAAAAAATCAATAAATTGTGAAATAAAACAAGCAAAAATGAAAGGAGAACAGGCATTTTTTAAAAACCAGTTAGAAGTCCTGGAAATAAAAATTAGAGTTTAACTTTTTAGCAACTTTAATAGGCAAAATAGATAGTGGTGAGGGAATTAATAAAATAGAAGTGTACTGGGAAATTTATGCAGAAACTATGAAAGTGAGATGAAGAAGTAAAAACATAATTTTAAAAAAGCAGTTCAAAACTATAGAGACTCAATTGGGAGTCTCCAACATACATCTAATGGGAGAGCCACAAAAAGAGTGTTGAGGACATGGCATAAACTTTTCCAAAATAGAAGAAATAAAGAAGTTTTCAGATCAAACATGCCCACCAAGTGCTACATGGGATAAGTGGCTGTATTTGGCCTGGAATTGTTCCAATGCAATAAAGATGCTAAAGTAAAAAATCCACCTTTAGAATGTACCATTTATTTAAAAATCTTTATAAGAAGAAATGTAAAAATTTATATAGGCTGACTAAAAAGTTTCCTTAGCAACTCTGAAACTCAGAAGAAGACACACGTAAGTAAATTTAGAATTTCTAGCTAAAATCGTTGTAAGATTATATCAAACAATATTAAATTTATTATGTCTTCCTAAATTGCCTTCTCCATTTCTGTGGAGTAATAAAGTTGAAATAACCCAGAAAGTCAAAATGGAGGAAAAAATAAAGCTGGGGACAGGGGCAGTGCAATACTAAATTACTTGTACTACCTGAAAGAAGAGCAAAGTTGTATTAATGTTAGACTTAGGTAAGTAAATTATTGTAATATACAGGTCAGTAACTAAATGAATAAAACTGAAGTATATAACGACCAAGATAATAAAGGGAAAAATTATTTTTAAAAATATACTTAGCCATCTGGAGAGAAACAAACAAGGAAATAGATGGGGTGTGTCAAATTTAAAAAATAAGTAAATAAAATGATAGACTCAAATAAAATACATCAGTAGCTACATTTAATGCAAACAGACTAAATGTTCCAGTTTAAGAAACAAAGATTTTCAATCTGGATTTTAAAAGGACATTGAATAGCACAAAAGCTGTCTGCCACATAACATTATGTATGTGTATCCATTTATGTATATACGTATATTATATATAATGGCATACATGTATGTATATGAGTGTAGATATAAACATATATGCCAAAGATTATAATTTTCTGAAGATATTTTAAAAGTTGGAAAATAATACATTAAGATGTCTTGAGATGACAATTACCTATCTGTGCTTCAGAATCTTCCCCAGTCAGCAAAATACATAAAAACACATAAGGCATATTTATACACACCATCACACAGAGCTGTCACTTGTGTCTCAAGGTTTATACCAGGCATCCTGTTCAGTTCTATAGTAAGCCATCTATTAAAATTTACCAACCATTACATGAACATTAAGAGTTTGAATAAGATTCAAAAGTAATAATTCATGTATTTTCATAGTGTGAAAACTATTTCTTAAACTTTTACTCCCTGTAGATTAACTGTGACCATTACAGCGCTGCTGAATTTCCATGTTATTAGTTTTCTAAAGTTTCTTTGTCAAGGAATTCTGATAATTGAATTAATACTTAATTAGGATTTATGTAACTTGTTATAAAAGTGACTGTTTTTAGTGAACCCAAGACAGTCATATATACTCCTAATCTCATTGTGTTTTTCTTAGGTTTCTTACCAAGGGATTTCTTACTAAAGTGTTATTAAGTATTCAAAAACTAAAAAAAATAAATTAAAAAGACACTGAAAGGATGTCTGGGTGGCTCAGTCAGTTAGGTATCCAACTCTTCATTTGGCTCAGGTCATGATCTCAGGGTCGTAAGATTAAGCTCCACATCAGGCTCCGTGCTCAGCAGGGAGTCTGCTGGAGATTTTCTCTCTCCCTCCCCCCTGCCCCACTTCTTGCTCTCTCACTATCTCTCTCTCAAATAAATAAATAAGACTTTAAAAAAATAATAAAAAATAAAAGGACATAGAAAAGTTAAAGGTAAAAGGATACGAATAATGCAAATAATAACCAAAGTAAAATTGGTGTGTATATATATAAATATAACACAAAATCAACTTCAAGGGAAAAGGTACTAGAAATAAAGAGGTTTGGGGTGCCTGGGTGGCTCAGTCGGTTAAGCATCTGCCTTCAGCTCAGGTCATGATCCCAGGGTCCTGGGATTGAGCCCCTCGTCAGGCTCTATGCTCAGCGTGGTGTCTGCTTCTCCCTCTGCCTCTGCCACTCCTGCTCGTGCTCTCTCTCTCTCTCTAATAAATAAATAAAATCTTTTAAAAAAATAGATTTCATAATGATAAAAATTTCAATTCACCAGTAAGATATAATTTTAGAATTATATGCACCTGATAATGTGACTTCAAAATATGTAAACCAAAAGCTGAACAAGGACAAATAAACAAATCCATATTATATTGAAAGATTTCAGTAAGTGATAAAACAAACAAAAAATAGGGACAAAATACTTGAACAACACAATTAACAAAGTGATCTCATAGACATACATAAAATACTGACTCTAACAACTGTAGAATGCACATTCTTATCAAGTACATGGAAACATTTACAAAAAAATTGACGATAGATGCTGAGTCATAAAGCAAGTCTCAACAAACTTCGAAGGATTCAAATCATATGGATAATGTTTTCTGACCCCCATACAATGTGGGAAGATAACTTCCAAAATCTCCATTTGCTTGTTGGAAAAATTATAAAATGACTTAAATGGTCAAAAATAAATAATGAGAGAAATTAGAAAATAATTTGAACTGAGTCATAATTTAAAAACCTGAATATTATAACTTTAAGATGCAGCATGACAGTACTTAGAAGGAAATATATAAACTGAATATATTAGAAAATAATGACTAAAAATTAATAAGCTAGGTATTTAGCTCAAGAGATTAGACAAAAAGAAACAAAATAAAATTAAAGAGAATAGGAGGAAAGAAATAATAAAGATAGAGGACAGCTAACGAAGAAGAACCAACAAAGCTAAAAGTTTCTCCTTTGAAAAGACTAACAAAATTGACAAAATTTTGATGATATTATTCAGGAAAAAAAGAACAAATAACAAATATCAGAAGTAAAAAAGAGAACACCACTACTGATTCTGCACACATAAACAAAAAATAAGAGCATATTATTGACAACTTTGTCAATAATTTTGAAAATTTAAATGAAGTAGAAAAAAAATCCTAGAAAAATACAATGTATCAAACTGGCATCAAAAGCAATAAAAAGCAATAGAGGGGCACCTGAGTGGCTCAGTCCGTTAAGCATCTGACTCTTGGTTTCAACTCAGGTCATGATTTCTGGGTGGTGGGATCCAGCCCCGCATTGGGTTCCACACTCAGCAAGGAGTCTGCTTGGGATTCTCTCTCTCCCTCTCACTCCCTTCCCCTTGCCCATGCATGGGCATGCACACACACACACAAGCTCTCTCTCTTTCTAAAATAAATAAATAAATAAATAAATAAATAAATAAATAAATAAATAAATAAATAAATAAATCTTTTTTATAAAGTTTTAAAAACGCAATAGAAAACTCTAAAGTCCTATAACCATTAAAGAAATTAAACCAGTAAAAAAAAAAAAAAAAAAGCCTGCCCAGGCCTAGACAACTTTACTCTTATGTTCTCACAAACTTACAAAGAATAAACAATTTCCATTGTATATAAATTCTTCCAGAGAATAGAAAAATAAGAAATATTGCCCAATTTATTTAATGTGGCTAGCATAATTTTGATAGCAAACTTGACAATGACAATATAAGAAAAGATTATTACCAAACAAATGCTGTGTCAAAATTGGTTCAACAATTGTAATAAATGTCTATCACACTAATGCAATACATTAATAATAGGGAAAATTGTGGGTGGGTGGAGAGGGTATATAGTAACTCTCTAATTTCTGCTCAATTTCTCCAAAAACCAAAGTATATTAATTAAAAATTTTTAACTGAGAAAAAAAAAGAAGAAAATATTATAGACCAAACTCACTTACCAGCATATAGATGGAAAAATTCTAATAGAATATTAGCAAACTTAATCTAGCAACATATAAAAGTAATAATAGGTCATGATTAAGGTGTATTTATCCCAAAAATTCATGGTTCGTTTAATATTCAAAAATTAAGTAATGAATTCACCATGTTAACAAATTAGAGAAAAATCACATGATCATCTCAATAGATGCAGATGAAACACTTAAAAAGATTTAACACCCATTTATGACTAAACCAAATAAAACTCTTAGCAAACAAGGAGCAGAAGGTAATTTCTTTCATCTTTACAAAACATAAAGCAAATATCTTACTTAATTTAAATGCTGAAATTTTTCCATTGGAAATCAGAAACAGGACAAGGAAGACTGGCTATCACTGTTTCTAATCAACATTGTAGGGGAGGGCCCATTCATGAAGAAATTTTTAAAAATTAAAAATAAGAAACTAAAGCAGAGGGAAAAAAAACCTGTCATTATTTACAGATGAAATGATTTTTATATAAAATCCAAATAAACTTGGAACACCTGGGTGGCTCAGTTGGTTAAGCATCTGCCTTTGGCTCAGGTCATGATCCCAGGGTTCTAGGATTGAGTCTTGTGTCAGGCTCCCTGCTCAGCGGGGAGCCTGCTTCTCCCCCTCCCTCTGCAGCTCCCCCTGCTCATGCTCTCTCTCTCTCTCTGACAAATAAATAAATAAATAATTTTTTAAAAATCCAAATAAACTGTTAAAATTTAGAACAAAAAGGTTTAGCAAAGTCACTGAAAAATAATGTCCAAAACCTCTATTTCCTCCATATACCAGCAACAAATAGTTACAAAATTTAAGTTTACAAAAGATAGCATTTACAATAGCCTTTGTTTACAATAGCATTAAACATTACCAATTACTTAAGAATAAATCTAATAAAAGATTTCCAACACCATTATAAAGAAAATCATAAAACTTTGTTCAGAGACATTGAAGGCAACCTAAGTAATGGAGAAGAATACCAGATTCAAGGAACACCCAGTAGTAAAAATATGTAACTTCTCCCCAAATTTATTTATAGATTCACACAATCTTATCAAAATCAAAAGTTTTCATGGAACTTGACAAACTACTTCTAAAATTTATATTGACATGCAAAAGGCCAAAAGCAATCAAGGCACTTTATTAGTTTCCTAGGGATGCTGTATATAACAAAGTACCACAAACTGGATGGCTTAAAACAACAAATTTATTGTCTCATAGTTCAGGTGGCTAGAATTCCAAAATCAAGGTGTTGCCAGGTTGATGCGTCCTTTGAAACCTATACAGAGAATCCTTCCTTGTCTTTTCTATCTTCCGGTGGTTTCCTGACAATCTTTGGCTTTCCTTGGTTGGCAGCTGCATAACTCCAAGCTCTGCCTTCATGGTCACATAGCATTCTCTCTGTGTCTGTCTTTATATGGCCATCATCTTATAAGAACACCAGTCACATTAGAATGAGGGGTCACCCTACTCCAATATGACCTCATCTTAACTAATTACCCCTGCAATCACCGTATTTCCAAATAAAGTCACATTCTGAGGTTTTAGAGATGTCAACATATCTTTTGTGGGGAGGACACAGTTCAGCTCATAACAGCACTTTTAAAGAGAAAGAACCAAGAGGAAAATTTGTTCTAGTAGACAACAAGACATATTACAAAGCTGTAGTAATCAGGACTGTATGGTGTTGCCACAGGGACAGGAAAGTAGAAGAGTAACAGAGCAGGAGAGCTGAGTAATGTCATTGAAATAGGTTTGTGTGACATTTGACTTGTGACAGAGGTGGCACTGCAGAGCAGTGAGGATGGAATAGACTTTCTAAAAGAAGATACCAGGATAATGAGAAAAATGAAATTGGGCTCCTCTTTTATATCATACACAAAACTCAAATCCATTGAATTTTAGAAAATACGGGATGATTCTTCTTGACCTTGGACTAGGGAAGGATTTTTCTAAACAAGCACTAAAAGTACTCATAATAGAAAAAAAATGACTGATAAATTAAAATTAAAAACTACTTATAAACAACAGTATAGAAAGAGTGGAAATTCAACTCGAAGTGTAGGAAAAGATATTTGCCATGCATATAACTAATAAAGAACTAGTATCCAGAATATAAGAAACTGCTACAAATAACAAGGAAAAGGAAAAGTACACAAGAGTAAAAATGGTGAAAAGATTTGAAAAAGCACTTCACAAAAGAGGAAATTCCAATGACCAATATCATATTTTAAAATGTTTGGTGTTAATGAACAAACATTTCTTCAAAGAAGACATCCAGGTGGTCAACACACATGAAAAGATGTCCAACATCACTCATCATCAGGGTTATCCAAATCAAAACCACAATGAGATATCACCTCAGTCTTGTCAGAATGCCTACAATCAAAAACACAAGAAACAACAAGTGTTGGTGAGGATGTAGAGAAAAGGGAATCTTTGTGCACTGTTGGTGGGAATGCAAACTGGTGCAGCCACTGTGAAAGACAGTATGGATGTTCCTCAAAAAATTAAAAATAGAACTACCCTACAATCCAGGAATTGCACTGCTGGATGTTTACCCAAAGAATACAACAACACTAATTCAAAAGGATATATGCACCCCTATGTTTATTGCAGCATTATTTACAGTAGCCAAATTATGGAAGCACCCAAAGTGTCCATCAATAGATGAATGGGTAAAGATGTGGTATACATATACATAGAATATTATTCAGCCATGAAAGAGAATGAAATCTTGCCATTTGCAATGACAGGGATGGAGCTAGAGAGTATAATGCTAAGTGAAATAAGTCAGAAAAAGACAAATACCATATGATTTCACTTATATGTGGAATTTAAGAAACAAAACAAATGGGGGCATGTGGCTGGTTCAATCAGTAGAGCATGCAACTCTTGATCTCAGGGTTGTGAGTTCAAGCCCCAAATTGGGTGTAGAGATTACTTAAAAAATAAAGTCTTAAAAAAAAAGAAACAAAACAAATGAACAAAGGAGGAAAAAAGAGGGAGACAAACCAAGAAACAGACTCTTAACTATATAGAACAAACTGATGGTTACCAGAGGGGAAGTGTATGGGGGGATGGGTGAAATAAGTGATGGGGAATAAGGAGTGCACTTCTTGTGATGAGCCCCAGATGTTCTATGGAAGTGTGAATCACTATATTATACAAAAGGAGGCATGTAAAGTAGAGCAGATTTGAGCATATAGGTGATAAGTTCCATTTTGTACATTATGATACCGGGGTTCCAGAACATCTCCCACTGCTGATATTTAGCTGACCATTGGAATTAGATCTTGTATATATTTTATAAGTATGTGTTATGGGCTGAATGTTTGTATCTCCCAAAAATTTATTTGTTAAGCACTAATCCCCAATTAAATGATGTTTGGGAGTGGGGCCTTTGGGAGGTAATTAGGCTTAAATGAGGCATGAGGATGGGGCACCATGATGGAGTTAGTGTCCTTATAAGAAGAGGAAGAAAGACTGGAGTTTTCTCTCTCCACTATGTGAGGACACAGCAAGAAGGTGGCTGTCTACAAGCTAAAATGAGATTCTTTACAAGGGAACCAAAGTGGCTGGCATCTTGATCCTGGGCTTCCCACCATCCAGAACTGTGGGTAATAAATTTTTGTTGCTTAAGCTACTAAGTCTATGGTATTTTGTTACAATAGCCCAAACTGACTAATACAATATGGGAGGGAAAAAGAGAGGAAAAGTCATCTAGTAGAGAAGGTGGGGCTGTAGATATGGATTTGGAGGTCAACCACATACAGCTAACAGTGGATCTCAAGAGATCAGATAAGCCTAAAATTGAATAAAAATAAAGAAAAAGAAGAAAAGATGCTAAGATCAAATCCTTGAGGAACAACTAAAACTATAGAAGAAAGGATGAGACAAATAATTGTTGGCAGAGAGGTGGGGAAACCAGGAGAATATAATGTAAAGAAGCCAAAAGACAGGGCATCTGGGTGACTAAGTCAGCTAAGCGTCTGACTCTTGGTTTTGGCTCAGGTCATGATCTCAGGATTCTGAGATCAGGATTGAGCCCACCCCACCTCGGGCTCCCCGCTTAGTGCAGAGTCTGCTGGAGATTCTTTCTCCCTCTCCCTCTCCCTTTCCCTCTGCCCCTACCCCGGCACACAGGCACTCTCGCTCTTTCTCTCTCTCTCAATCTCTCCAATAAATAAATAAAGAATCTTAAAAGAAGAAGAAGAAGAAGCCAGAACAGGAAAGAGTTTCAGGATTTGGCCAACAGTGGGTTAGAGAACTGAGAGAAAGCGATTGTGCTCAATGACAAACAGAACAATTTTTAGTCACCTTAAACAGAGTGGTTTCAGTGGATTGTTGAGGGCAGAAGTCAGGCTACAAAATTATGGAATTTCTGGATCACCCTAACACAGAGGAAGTGAATATGGTCCCTTCAAGACTTTTGGTAGTGAAAGGGAAATAACATGAGAGTAGTAAAGTCAGAAGAAAGGGACTTTTTCTAGATGAAGAAGAGTACTATGGTTTTAGAAAGACCACAGTGAGGAAATATTAAAGATGCAAGATGGTGTTCAGAGTGGATAAAAGAGGGAACAGTGTTCTGAGAGATGGAAGAGCACAAGTGCAGGAGCTAGTCTTTGAAAGGAGGAAGAACACACCCTGTTTGAGGCAGAAGAATCTTCAATCTAAAGTGTATAACATGAAATGAAAACTCATCAGAGACCAAAGCATTAATAAAAGAAAAGTAAACTCTTGTGCACTGTTGGTGGGAAGTTAAATTGGTGCAGCCACTGTGGAAAACAGTATGGAGATTCCTCAAAAAATTAAAAATGAGGGCACCTGGGTGGCTCAGATGGTTGAGCGTCTGCCTTCAGCTCAAGTCATGGTCTCCAGGTCCTGGGATTGAGCCCCGCGTCGGGCTCCCAGTTCAGCAGGGAGTCTGCTTCTCCCTCTCCTTCACTTCACCCCTGCTTGTGTTCTCTCTGTCAAATGAATAAACTTCAAAAAATTAAAAATGGAACTGCTATGTAGTCCAGAAATTCCACTTCTGGGTATTTATTTAAAGAAAACAAAAACACTAACTCAAAAAGATATATGCACCCTATGTTCACTGCAGCATTATTTATAAAAGCCAAGATATGGGAACAACATAAGTGTCCATCAACAGATGAATGGATAAAGAAAATTTGATATAGATATAGAGATAGATCTAGATGGATATAGAGCGAGAGAGAATGAAATATTATTTAGTCATAAGAAAGAATAAAATCTTGCCATTTGTGACAACATGGATGGACCTTGAGGGCATTACTCTAGGTGAAATAAGTCACTTATTAAGTCATAGAAAGACAAATACAGCATGATCTCACTTATACGAAAAATCTTTAAAAAAAAAAAAAAAGACAACCCAGCTCATAGATACATAAAACGGATTGCTTGGTACCAGAGGCAAGGAAGAGTTGGGGAAGGGGGAACAGCACTGGGGAGAAATGAGTGAAGGAAGTCAAAAGGAACAAACTTCCAGTTATAAAATAAGTAAAGAGATATAATTTACAGCATGATGACTACAGTTAATAATACTATATTGCATAATTGAAAGCTGCTAAGAGTAGATCTTTTAAGAAAGAAAGTATTTTTACTTTTAATGCCTTAAAATGAAGTCCAGTCATTAAGAGAATTGATTCCCCAAATAAAGAATACAGCAGCTATTTAAGGGGGAAAAAAATGCAAGGTTACCAAGGTAACAATAAACTTGTTTATGGTGGGCAAAAGCAGACATTTCCTCACATGGTTACCACATGGGCAAGGATCACCACCTACCTGTAGATGGCAGAAGTTGGGGATGAATATTTTTTCATCAGGGACTTCTCAGTAAGGACTCAGAAAGGTTTCATAACTCAGGGGTTCATGTTAGACGTGTTGTTGCTTTGGGTTTGTTTTTACTATGGTCCATGATGTGCTTTCCATGTTGCTCTCAGAATTACAGTCATCTGTAGGCAATGAATGTGTCTGTGATAAAGTGTAGACCTTGAGGAAAATGCAAAATGCTTGAGATGGACAGTGTAGGAAACATGAAAGGGAGTCAGTTGTAGATTGCATTCCAAATATCCCAAAATACCAAAGAGGGTGAAAACAGGAAAGTTATCCAATCCACCCTCATCAGTATGTTTGGAGGGGGAAAATGAGGCCTAGAGAAATGGCTTAATGAAAAGCAAAGTTTGGAACATAGGACTGTCGACCCATAGTCCAGTGTTCTTTATGCCTTACCATATTGCCATGTAAAATCAAAGTTTTCTGGAGCCCAATTCCTTGTGAGTTATGTAATGTGTGCATAGGAATGGAATCCTAGCATGAACAGTAAAATAAGCAGTTCCCATACTTTCAGATGCCAGGTAGGTGTCTTTGATTATCCTTATTCTGGTCTTTGCCAAACTCTCTGGTCTAGGAGAGAAAAAAAGGCACACAATATTTCCTTTTTAAATTCCTAAAATAAATTATAAGCACTATAGGGACAAATTTAGAATAAAAAGTTATCTAATAGTATAGGATTTTATAATAAGCTGGTATTTAAAAAATATTTCCTATAGCTTCTTAATTTCTAAATTTAATCAAGAGCTCATTTAGAGTGAGATAAATTAATCTGAGGAACTATTAAAATAAAGGTACTTATTTAATCACAAAATCTATTAAAATATTGAATATTTCTAAATCTCTTACTAATATGAAATCATATTACTTAGTTGTTCTGGAAATAAAAAGAAATTTAAGTACAGCTTGAAGACAAGAATAAAAGGGTAGGTTAGAGAAACACTTCATTAATCTTCTACTACATTTTAATCATCCCAGAGAACAGTAAAATGTTGATGTGTGTAAAATAGCCAAATGAAGCTAATCAATTTATACAAAAATGAGAAAGTTATGGAAAATGTCTTTCTATAAAATTGTGGTACTAGTTTTTAAATGATCAGTTTCTGTTTTTAATTATCTTCTAATTTGCAGAACAGCAATCTGAATATATACTCTAGGAAAAATCATAATTAGATAAGGCTCATTTTCTTAAAGTTATCCATGTTAGATCTGAATGTGAAGAGTTGTCAAAAATAATCTCAAGGCAGCTGTTTCCAATTATGCTTATTTTGACAACTGAAAATCAGTAAACAAACCAAAAATAGTTTAATATTTTGACCAATGTAGCTCCTTAATACTAAACAAAATAATTATGCTTTATATTGGTATAAAATTTAAGAAGCATATTTTAAGGTTTAAACAGAAAGGAATTATTTTCTTAAATTCTGCAAAAGTTAATTATTATACAAATTCAGGTAGATGATGTACAAAGTATATCTTCATAAACAAAAATTCCAAATCCTCATCAGTAAATGAGATATTCAAATCCACTCAACACAAGCATTCATAAAAGGTTTCCACCATATTTGATATTTGAGGAGTCAAGTATAATGTCAATACCATTAATAATATAAATATGATTCAGATTTCCTAAATACTCTCCATTCTGCTAACAGTAGATTCCTACCAACCTTCATTCTTTAAAAACAACAACAAACTTTTTTTTTTTAAAGATTTTATTTATTTATTTGACAGAGAGAGAGAGAGAGAACACAAGTAGGCAGAGAGGCAGGCAGAGGGAGAGGGAGAAGCAGGCTTCCCGCGGAGCAGGGAGTCCAATGCCGGGCTCGATCCCAGGACCCTGGGATCATGACCTGAGCCGAAGGCAGACGCTTAACAACTGAGCCACACAGGCGCCCCAACAACAAACTTTTATAGGAATGTCAACTGTTTGGAAGGAATATTTTTTCATATATGGAAACAAAGTATAAGTAATACAGATGAGGCAGAAAGAGGAAAAAGAAACATGAACAAGAGTTGTCAAGCATACAAAAGTCCAAGAATAATACAGTGCAAACAGCACAGGAATCTGGGTTTTCCTCATCTAGACTGCTATGAAATATTGGGGACAGCATTTTTTCTTCGTACTTTTTGGTACACAATTGATGGATTGTTGAACGTTACATCTGAAATTAGTGATGTTCTAGAGGTTGGCTAATTGAATAAAACAAACAAACAAAAAACGATCAAAACATCTTTAAAATTAGGACCCATTCTTCCTTCATTACAAATCTGCATTTTTCTTTGAAGCTTGCATTAAGACCTTTTTATGGAAGTAAGAGGGACTTTTCTCCATAGAAAACAAGTAAGGTCTGTACCTCTGAAACAAATAATACATTATATGTTAAAAAAAAAAAAGAGAGAGAAAATAGTAGGAAGGGAAAAATGAAGGGGGGGAAATGAACCATGAGAGACTATGGACTCTGAGAAACAAACTGAGGTTCTAGAGGGGAGGGGGTGGGAGGATGGGTTAGCCTGGTGATGGTTATTAAAGAGGGCACGTTCTGCACGGGGCACTGGGTGTTATGCACAAACAATGAATCATGGAACACTACATCAAAAACTAATGATGTAATGTATGGTGATTAACATAATAAAATTAAATTTAAAAAAAAGAAAACAAGTAAGGATTCCAAGGCGATCTTGACTATATGCATTAGGGCCTATAAAACCCTAGAAGGCCTGCCTGCTCCCAGACACCTGTCCAATTATCCTGACATCATCTGAAATTTCCACTAATTTGTTATATTAGCAGAGTTTCTTTGGGGATAAGGAATTAATTCTAAAAGATTCCTATTGTAAAAGTGCAAAATGTTATTTGATGTTAATATTTTTCAACCAGCTATCTAGCTGTACGTGGCTGGGAACAGGTGTGTATAAGGGAAGCAGACCCAATTATTTCAGGGCAATGGATATCCCATCCTTCCTGTGGATGGTAATGATGAGGAAAAGATCCAGAGCATGGGGTACTGCTTAAAGGCAAATACGTGAGGGCTCTGAGGGTGGAGTCCTTAAACAAAGCCATGTGGGAACAGCCATGTTGTACCAGACACTTGGGGATAGTAGGAGAACCATGGAACCACATTTCCCTACTTCACCATTTGATTTCCCATAAGAAGTATTCACAGTATAATAGCATGTTGAACGTTCCAGAAGAAAGCAACAGGTTACAGTACTGTAAGATTTATGCCTTTCCACACTTGATACAATGGGCTGTTTCTTCATATATCTGTGCCTTGCTTTCTGCATTTCTTTTCCTGCTTACCCCAAATTCCTTATCTGCCTAATCCTGCAGCAGCCAGGCATAAAACACAGGACCAGTCAGGACCATTCTACCTGAATGTTAAACAATTCAGACTAAAGGGCAGGAGGAAGCAGAGAGTAGCCATCCTTGTATATTTCTAAAATGAAATGCCATGACTTCCCTTATTGGAAATGTCAAGCCATCCCATGGACTAACATTAGGATCAAAACCAGATGATTATCCTGTTTTTCCCAAGAAAAAATTACACTCTACTTCATTTAAAAGCCAGAATCTAATTTTTATCTTAAAAAAAAAAAAAAAACAGCTCTTTAAAGTAAATATTTCCCCAAAAGAAAACCACCTAATATACTTGGGTGGAGGGGAGGAAAGGAATAAAAAAGGAAAAGAGAAATAAATTGAGGTTTGTGTGAGGCATAAGTAATTTGAACTCTGGACATGGACATGGATCTTTACCATTAGTAATTGTTCTGCTATTCCGGGGGAGAGCAGAGATGAAGCTAGGGTTGAAAACAATTCAGGATTGACCAGAGATGAAAGCACTAATTCCAGTGCGGGTGGGGGATAGGATTCAAAATACTGGAAAGCTTTGTTTTCCTCACCCTGTGTCTTGGAACCGCCAGATCAGAAGTTGGCAACTCTATATTAAACATCATAACAGCTGGGATGAGGAAACTCTTCACAGAAGGGCCACCCCAAAAGTCAGGAATGAAAAAATGCTAGAGGAATAAACACAACAAAATCCCACAGGAAAATATATCTGGCCACTGGGTGGGTATCAGCCTTGTGTCATACTTGGTATGCACTGGAATTTTCTTCCTTTAAAATAAAGACTACTTTTCCTTTGAGAAAGTTGCCTGTTTTTTAGGTATTCACCCATCTTTCACAGAGAACTTCAATTCTAAGCATATATTGCTCATAAGGCTTTTTAGGGGAAATGTGAGCCCAATCCCTTAACCTAGAGCTTAAAAACATTACACATAATAGTCAGTGGACAAGAAAAAAGAGGAAATGCTGAACAATTTCTCCTCTTGGGAGAAACAGGTTGGTTTTCTACAATGTCATTGACCCTGAAGGGCATATAAGACTATTTCTACACAAGAGAAGGTTTGCACTAAATTTGGCCCTAAAAGTCCATAGCTTTGCCTTCACATTATTTATTGGCCCTCTTCCCACCCTCTCATGACCTCTTATGCTCATCATGTGGTATGAACACTGAGAACATTTAACAATCTTTTTTTTTTTTTTAAGATTTTATTTATTTGACAGAGAGAGACACAGCAAGAGAGGGAACACAAGCAGGGGAGTGGGAGAGGGAGAAGCAGGCTTCCCGCTGAGCAGGGAGCCCGATGTGGGGCTCGATCCCAGGACCCTGGGATCATGACCTGAGCTGAAGGCAGACGCTCAATGACTGAGCCACTCAGGCGCCCCCACTGAGAACATTTAAAAACTACAAGGTGAGAACCTAACCCATGAGCAGGCACTCAGAAGACCCTGGAAAATAATGTTGAAACACGATCAAAATCAAAGGCAGAAAGAGTATCCAAATAGGCAACAAAAGATTCAGTTCCTTAAATGAGCTTTTTAACATTAAAGAGAAATCCAGAAAAACAAAGATTTCATAATATAATTTGTGCTTTTCCCCCATTGAACAATGAATTCTCTAAGTATATGTAATAAAACACTAGAATGTATTGACTTCAAGTTGCAACATGGGTAGATATATTTTCTTCTCTATACTAAGGAAGAAATAGATTTCAAGTGTAATACATGACATTTGTGTTAGACTTTTTTTTCTAACTGACTTTAGGGGAATAAGTTACTGGAATATAGCCCCAGAAGACCTCCTCTGGAAACTTTGAAGAATCTAAGCTAGTTATTGGACAGGGCTTCCTGGAAAAACTAGGTGAGAGCTTCTTTAAGCCAGGGACAGGCTACATAGAGTAATATATTTGAACACTGGCTTGGCAGTCAAGCATATTCTGGGTGTGAATTCTGCTTCTACTAGTCACCATATTGGTGATCTCAGGCAAGTTACTTAGCCCCTAGAAGCACGGTTTCTGGGCTATAAAAATGAAGGTAATGCCAACCTCTTCAACAGGGTTGTTGGAAGAATTAAATGAAGCAATGTAAGTATTGGCAAATGAAATGCAAATAATGATAATAATAGTAATAATAGCTAAAGTGTATCTCATGATTATCAAGTGCCAGGCACTGTTACCCAAAATGCAACTTATTATTACTATACTACTGCTATTACTGCTACTACCATATACATTACTTATCAATATATCCCCAGTACCTAGCACAATGCCTAGCATAACTGGCATTCAGTAAATACTTCTTGAATTGAATTAAATTTCTCAGCATTACTTAGACTCAGACAGGCAAGAAGTGAGCAATCCAGTCAACCAAATGAATTGATTCCATATTCACAATATCTACCAAAAAACATGACTGTCATTTTTCATTGAATTTACTTGTTGGGTTTTTTTTTTTAATTTGAGTAAACTATATGGAAATTTGGGTAGCATAGACACTAATATTCATGAATGTCTGCAGAAGATAAAACTACAGACCAATTTTGCTTGTAAATACCCTCAATCATGAGTGACCTTAAAGATATGACATGTAGCATTTTGTCATTTTATTGAGAAGCAAATCTGAACCACACACAATAGGAGACCAATATATGAGGATGAGTCCTAAACATGTGTGTGGTGTGTGCCCCAGGAGAGGGCCCATTGAGAAGGAAGCTTTGCCTTTCACTAGATCATTATCATTGTAGTAACTCTCATAAAGCTGTGGAGGAAAGGGCTTCTTTGTGGAATAATAGTCCCACAAAATCGGCCAACACACAGAGCTATAGTAGTATTCACGGATTTGGGAATTCTAAAAGGACCTGGGACAAATTCCTAGTAGATGTCAAGGATATACCATACAGACTGTGATAACTGTGAGAATTAAAATCAGATCACATAAAAGCTATTCAGTTGGAAGACCAAACAAATTCTCAGAAATTCAGCAAAAAATGCTGGAGCAAACTTTCAAAATCCAGTTCATCTTTAACTTATCATTTTTCTAAGTGGGAAATGTTCATGATGTCCTGTTTAATTATCTTCAGAAACTTTTTTTAAAACCTTTAGAAAATTTTCACATTTTCTAAAATAGTACAAGCAATCAAATGCCAAGCTCACCATAATAAAATGTACATACATAAAATATGAAATTGCTTTGCATTGTAACATTACCTTAACCATATTACAGAGTAAATATTATGTCCTTTTAACATCATAAGAGTAAACTAATGGCTCAGAAACAACATGTGTGATCTGACTAAATTAATGTTACTATGGAAACTTGATATTTTCAATTTCCCAACCCTTAAGGTCAATTTCAACACTGCAATATGCTGTTTTCCATTCTGCTGCTATAGTTCAGGACAATAGAAAAGCATGCTGTAAATCAAAGTTATTAAAGACGTTAAACTAAAACTGGGAAATAAAAGTAGGAAAAACTATATTCTTCTCTTAAAAAGTTCAATCCTATGTCATCTATGGTTCATTCCATAACCCAAGTCCTCATCTGGCTTGTCTTTCTTTTTCCCAACAGTTTGCTGGCAGATCCACAAACTCAAAATAAATAGAATTTTTCCACTATCTAATTCTGAATTTGGCAGGGAAACTCAATGATGAATCTATTCCTACCTCAAAAAATGTTTTCTTTTATACATTTCACTCACTCATACTCACTCAAGGCAGTAGACTAGAGAAATAACAACTTTAGTGTCCGTGTGTGTATGTGTGTTGGGACTGGGAAGGGGCTTCTATCATATGTGTCTCAGGAATAAGTCAAAATACAAATCCAATCATAATATCTGAAATTTCAAATAGGAATAATCAGTTTTTTCACCACTTTCCCCCTTGGATTCCTTCCAGGCCATCTGAGGAGAAATCTCATAAGGTTTATCACTATGAAGAGGATATTTCTGCATATCCTGAACAAGTAAACACCCCTCACAACGGCGGGTGGTGCTGCAGGCTGATGGCTTCACTTACCCCCCTCAGCTTGGTTCTTTAAAATACAAATGCTTCACAGTCTACACAGACTTTTAACTAGCTTACTTGCATAGAACTTACAGTAGTAAAATAATTTAAACAATAATTTTTATTATTTCCTTCCCCAGGGACAGGTAAGTGAAGGGTTATTGCTATCTAGACAGCTTTCCCTACTCATTTTTTCTTACTTTTTCAAGTTAAACTTAATCCCAGTGACTCTCTACCTACCAAGTCTACCTTCTATTACAAACCTTTTCAAAAAGTCTTAAAAGCTCATTCACTTTAATTTGGAATTAATGCCAGGGAAGTGACACAACATGAACCACCCTGTTCGTTTCACGTAGGTGCCTAGAAACAATGTATAACTTCTATTTGGAAAGAGACAAACCTGGGTTATACATGGACTTTTACTGTGGAATCTGTTAGCATTTCTTTTTCAAGCATCACCTTCAGTTTATGTGAGGAAACTGTCCCCAGGGCATTATTTTAAGGAGATTTGTGAATTTATACTGCATAATGCCTCCAAATTAATTTTACCAAAGCAATTTTGATCATTTCAGTACCTTACTCAAAAATCCTCAGTGATCCTCTTTCTTTCTCCATTGCCTACAGGCTAAAGTTCTAAAAGGCCCTCAACAATCTGGCAGCAATTAGTGCCTAGGACCTCACTTCCTTCCCTCCCTACACAGACTCTCCCAACCAGGGGAAGGAGCTACGCTTCTTGTCCAGTGGGTTATAATGTGTGCTGTGGACCAAGGAAAGCTATGTACTGTATTCTAGCCTCTTTTTTTCCAGTGGGAGTTTTACTGAAGTTTTTCTGTTCTTTCTCCACAATTCCACGTTGGTTGTGTTATAAGTGGACCCCTTAGATCATAACTGTGAAGAATGGTATCCACACCTGATGGAGAGGAAAGGACAACCCAGAGATCCTGGACTTGCAGCTGATTTGGACTTTGGATTGTCTCTCTTTAGAAAGAGGTTGTAAATGCATATAATAGTGTATCAATAGGGAGAAAGATATGTATGGATGTTGAGCAGCCAGAGAAAGACTGTAGAGGACTCTGTGGGTGCCTCCCAAACATATCACCCACTCCTTTCTGTAGAGCAACCATTCTGTTTGAGTGGCAGCAAACCACATCTCCACCACGAATTAGGTGGACCCTAATTTATCTAAGCTAGTCATTGTTATCCTGTCCCCCTTGAAACAAACATTGGCATAACCCAAACCTAAGTAATTCAGTCGCTGTTATTCTCCTGGCCACTGTGATTGGCTTAGGATGGTGCAATCCCAGCAAATCTGAGAACTTTTTTCAATGGCTAAAAGAGGCAACTCTCTTCTGGATATGAACAAGGAATCATATAGGCTACATGTGGTAATCAGACTTTAAGATGGCCCCCAATGATTCCAGCCTCCTGATATTCACATTTTTGTATAATACCCCTCTCACTGTGTCCCCAAGTTGGTCTGTATGACCAATAGAATAGGGAAGAAGTGATGGTATATAATTTCTGAGATTATGTTATAAAATACGGGGTTCTTTCTCCTCCTTTTCCCTCTCCTTATCCCTTTCCCCCTCTCTCTCTCATCACTTGCTCTGGGGGAAACCAATTGCTATTTCATGGAAACCCATACATAAGCCCATATGATAAAGAACAGAAGTTTCCACCTAACAGCCATATGAGTGAACTTAGAAGTATATTCTCCAGCCCCAGTGAAGCCTTAGATGACCACAGCCTGGCTGACATCTTGATTGCTGCCTTGTGAGAGATTCTGAGAGATTCTGAGAGATTCTCTGATAAGCCATGCCTAGATTCCTGTCACACAGAAACTATAAGAGAATAAACGTTTATTGCTTAATCCATAAATTTTGAGGTAATTTGTTATGCAGCAATAGATAACTCATACACTTGAGGAATCATCTTGCAACTAGCAAGAACACCAAGGTGAAGATAAAGAGAGGGCTATGAGGGTCACAGAGAAATGTAGCTACAGTCCTAATTAATGCATCCCTGCAGCCCACTTTACCTCTAGTTCTCTTTAGTTACATAGGCCAATAAACAAATGCCCTTTATTTTTACGCTGGTTTGAGTGAGGTTTCCAATACTTGCAAAGAAAAGTTGGTTAATGCAGAATTTGTTTGAGAGAACTCAGTACCTTCAAACGTGACTTCCAAATCACCCTGATCTCCGCCCATTTGCTCATATAGCAGCCCTTTGTCTCTGAGCACTTTATTCTTACCCATTCTTCACCACACTGTTCAAGCCTCACGTTTTCTGATCTGATGACCACTGCAAGAAGGTTTCTAGCAATCTCAGTTCTGATAGTACTTCTGCTGTCACTTCTGTTCATTTGGCACTTGTCATACATTCTCCCATCTTTGATGAGTATATGTTTATCTAGACTGTAACCTCCTTGAAAGTAAGAACCATTTTTATATACTTCTAATTTCTATGGCACTTACCACAGAAGGCACTTGTTAAATATTGCCTTTTTGACTCCATCAGTCAGGATTTCCTACACAAAAGTGAACTACTTGGCTTGGAATCAGAGATCTTCATTCTAGCAGGTCAGATGCCAAGATACCTACTGTAGCAATAGGAAAAAAAAGAAGAATTGAGGGGGTTGCCATTTTGCTGGCCCATATTTTCTCAATTTCATCCCATGCACACACAATAATGAAGGATTTTAAAGATGCTACTTGGTTCCTGACAACATCGTCTCATAAAACTTTCTGCATATTTGAAGAGGATGCCAAGCTGTCCAGGTAAGCCATGGTTATTACATATATTTTTGAAGCATATGTAATATCCATTCTAAACAGCCTGAATTCAGAGTACAACTCCAACCCTTAACAACATTCTGGGCAGCTCCCACAGTTTTGAAATGACTATGTTAAAGACATCCAGTCCAATTTAAATCTTCACTTGCAGCTCCTCCCTTTCTGTAAGTCACACATTTGTGACTAGGGCCTGAAATGGGGAAGGGGACTGATCTTCCCCTTCACTTCTTTCCCCTTTCCTCTAGAGTGGTGGGCTTGAAGGTTGGAGGTCGTAGTAGAAGCAGAGATAGAAAGGGACAAGTATTTGTTTCAGTGCTGCATTGTGTCCTTCTCTTGGCTGATGCTGCTTATTGGCCTCTGGGTGGCAGACATCCCAACACTGGCTCTTCCACGGGGTACGTGTGTGAGGGTTCTTTAGACACTAGTGAGGGACCTCCCTGGGATATGGTCCCCACCTTGTTCTTTTGATACTTCCTCAGTTGCTACCCCTGGCATTACTCTCACAACCTCTTGTGTAGGGTACTGGCAAGTCAGCTCAAGTCCAGCTACTTTCCATGGAGGCTTCTTGACTCCTGGGAGACCCACACATCACTGCCACGCCACCAGGTAGGTACAGGCTGCTCTGCTGGCTCACTTCTCTCTGCTCCATTATCTTACTTTAATTCTCTGTTCCCTTACTCATACAGCCAACTGAGGTCTGATCATCTGGTTTAATGACTAAGAAATAAGATACCATTATCTTCTTTTCATCCCAATCTCTGCAGATGGTCCTCAAAGCACCCTCAAATGGGGAGCCAGAATATTTTCCACTAGGCCAAAGACTCACAACTTTAACAACATGTCCATCTCCCCTCATCTAGTCAAAAAGTGGATAGGACATGAAGACTGCTTCAGTCTCAGATGATGATGGGCAGGAGGCAGGAAGGAGGTTTCCAGGGGGGAATGGTCAGTTTGTCTGACTCATCAAATCCTGCAGGTGATATCTGGTCCCCGATATTCAGAATAGGTGTACTTTATCCTTAGCTTTGCTCCCAGTTGCCATTGCCCACTCAACACTCTGAAACCCATGGCAAAGAAAGGGAACTTAGAACTTAGTCTGTTGGGAAAAACTAGATTTTTACCTCTGCTTGTCAGCATGAGCTAGCACAATACTATTATGGTAGTCTTAATCCTCCATATTTTCTCACCTGCAATATGAGGATACTATTTACTTGATTGATCAGCTTCATACACGACACAAGCGAAAAACATAGAATCACATTAATTTTATTCAATATTTATCTTGTGTCTCTGGAAGAGCATTCAGTGGAAAAAATATGCCAGTTTCTTAGCACTGATTTATAATCCCAGCTTGCCATGTATTATGTATAAGGTATTAGGACTCTTGTAAGAATTAAATGTGATCATGCATGAGGAGGGCTTGGCATAGAGCAAGTACTCAATATTATCCACCATTATTATTATCATCTCTGTGACGTTACACAAGTCATTTAAGCTCTCTGAGTCTTCATTTCCTCATTTTTAATTGAGAATAATAATAGAGTTCTGAAGATTCTGTGAAATCATGTTATTTGGAAGCAATTGTAAATTTCTTTGTAAATGTTATATATTGTCTATGAAACAACGACATTGGACCTTTAAGGTATTTTCCTCTTCTAAAATGCTATGCATTTACTATCTGGTATTATGAAGAAGGAAAAGAAAAATGTTCACTTTTCAATAGGGTGTTTTGCAGCAAAAATTGTCTCATTCTACCTATGAACTCACAATTTCCACACAGTGTAAGAGACTGCTCTTCCCTTCTATCATACTGTCAATTTTTATCTGTTCCCCAAAATATTTTACCTCCTCAATGTGTACATTTCAAGCACCTTCACATAACTTAAAATGGAAAGGAAATTACTTAAGAGGCAGTGGAAAACTACCAAAGAATCAGCCAATAAAATTTAGTCATAGGGGTAACTTATTCCAATTCCTAACATCTAAGACACTGGTGGGAAATTTTCTTCCTTCCATCCTACTTTCAAATATGAACATTAATCCCATCACAGAGATATTAACTCCACTTTGGAAATTCCAAATCTTACCATATTCCATTACTGTTGAATAAGGTATAAAGTATATTCAAAAACTAAGGCTTCTTTTTAATCTATTTAATTTACATTCTTTGGCCAATCTGTCAAAAATATCTTGACTGCTCAGCCAACTGAAATTCGAAAGAAACGTAAATCTAAGTGCAATCTTTAAGTACGAAATTGAAACAAACTACCATGTCTGCCTTTAAGGACTAAAATAGTAGTTAATGTATTTTGGCTACTTAAGACATTCAGACTCACAATTATTTCTAATCATTAAGCTTTGAAATCGAAGATTTTCTTGGCAACAGAATCAACTTCAAGTTTGAAAGTTGGAGCCTCGTTGCAAATTTGCAACTGGCTCTATCTATCCGTCAAGCAAAATATCTTTTGAATGGTCTGAACATATTTATATGGCTCTTTATAATTTGAGAAGTGTCTTTTTTACACACCTTTTATTTAATGTATGAGATTCCTTGGGAGAGAAGCAGAGCAGATAAAGAAAATGTGGTTCAGTGAAGGTCAGTGGCTTACTCAAGATCACAGAAACTGGTAAAGCAGAAAGGAAAACATGGGTCCTCCTGATTCCCAGCCCAGGGATCCTCCCACCATAACGGGCTGCTTTAGAAACCCATGGACTTATGTGAAATCCTAAGAGAACATCTTGCCTATCACCCTGCCACTTATAAGCTAAAATCATGTCAGTTAAAATCAGATACTTAAGATCATGTCCAGCATGGAAAAATGGTTACAACACTTTTCGTTTGTTCATTCAGTCATTTGAAAACTATTTGTTGAGGACATATGAAGTGTCCAGCATTGTGCTGGCACTTGGAATGCAGTTGTGAATAAACCAGACATGGTTCCTACAGTTTAGTCATGGAGATAGATACTATTCACATAATCACACAAGAAATTTATCGCTAATAACCAGAAGTAGGTCCAGAATGAGGACAACATGCTTTGAAAGTGTCTAAAGAGACACCTAGCCTCATCTGAAACATCAGGGGTGTTTGGGATAGGAGTGAGGGGTGGGGTAATAAGGAGCATCCTAGGCCATGGAAGGACACGCCAGGCCAAGAGGTTCACGTCCATAGAAGCCCTGAGGCAAGAAGGAAAATCAAACACACTTTATGATAGCAATTTTATTTAAGCAAAGGGAGGAAAGTCTAGCAGGAAATACACCAAATCATTTGTGATGTTTTCTTTTGGAGAGGAACTGGCAATGTTCATTTTCTTATTTATGCTTTATTGAAATGTTCCAAATTTTCTACAATAAAAAAGAGCTTTGTGATCTTAGGGGAAAGTCAGCCTAAAGAAGTAGGAAGGAGCTGACTAGAATATCTAGCCCCAAAGGTCCCTGTGCGAGAAGGGAAAACAGAGCTCTCTCAGTCACTCCAGGCCAGAAATCCAGGAGCTGAAGTGTGAAGCGGAAAGTAAACAGTACAAGAACATAATTAGCGTTTTGGTGATTTAAAAGGTCCCCAAATACTCAAAAGGTATAAAGCTGTGAATGAAAAGGAACAAATGTGTATTGAGCCCTCTTATGGGCCAAGTACTATCCTACACTCTTCATGGCATTTCCTGGGAACAGCAGTGTACAGGTAACAGTGCTTCGTTTCTACAATTTACCCACTGATTGTGTTCCTTTCTCTCACCCTAAACCCTACGAGATGTGTACTATAATCCCATTTCACAAATAAAAATGGAAGTGAGATTTAAAGAGAGGTTAAGTAATTTGCTCAAAGTCAGACATCTATTAGGTCGGAGAGCTGGAATCAAAAGAAAAGTTCTGTTTGACTCCAGAGGACTCCTGTCACCTGCGTAAATGTGATAGAGATTGTTTACATTAAGATTTTCCCATAAGAATTGGGAAAAAGGGGGGCATCTGGGTGGCTCCATCGGTTGGGTGTCTGCCTTCGGCTCAGGTTGTGATCCTGGAGTCCTGGGATCAAGTCCCACATCGGGCTCCTTGCTCAGCGGTCAGCCTGCTTCTCCCTCTGCCTGCTGCTTCCCCTGCTTGTCCTCTCTCTTTCTCTCTCTGACAAATAAATAAATAAAATCTTAAAAAAAAAAAAAGAATTGGGAAAATGTATGATTATGGTTGTTTTGTTGCTGGCCAGAGGACAGGATTGTGCTGGCAGGATGGTAAAGCACAATAGTTCTAAACACTTACATAGTGCCAGGGTCTGTTCTAAGTGCACTAGAAATCTTGCCTAATTCAATTCTCATAACAAGCATATGAGGTAGGTACTATTATTATCCCTAATTTGCAGATAAGGAAACTGAGTCCCAGAAAGGTTAAAAAAAAAACAAGAGTTTGCCCAATATCACACAGAGCTGTCACTTGAAGCAGGAAAGGTGGATCCAGAATCTGTAGGCCTAACCATCAAGCAACACTTCCTTCCTAAATTCTTCTTTTTTTTTTTTTTAAAGATTTTATTTATTTGAGAGAGAGAGAGCATGCGTGTAAGCAGGGGGAGGGGCCGAAGGGGAGAGAGAGAACCTCCAGCAGCAGACTCGGCACTGAGCATGGTGCCTAAGCGAGGCTGATGCAGGACCAGTCTCACCACCTTGAGATCATGACCTCAGTGAAACCAAGAGTCAGAAGCTTAACTGAGCCACCCAGGGGCCCCTCCTTACTAAATTCTTAACTGACTCTCTTGGTTCCCTCTACATGTGAGTAATCTATTTCCAAAACTTCCTTCCATCGGCTAGTTCCAAAGACAAGT